CGAGAAAACTACCGTTGACCAAGGCAAAGTCGATGTCAACAAGGCATTTCGAGGGATGACATTTTTACGTTATCCTCGCTAACCTACAACATTTTAGTGGGTCATATGAGTTACAAGGACCTTTTGCTATCTGTTTGTGTTCGTCGTCGTGCGTCATCTTTTACTTTGCTACACAGCTTCAATTCTGCAAGAGTTGAAAATCATAACAGCCATGTTTGGTTTACAAAACCTGGACCCGTGCAGTCCAGTGATGCTAGAAAAATTAATTTGTTGCAGATTAGCTAGGTTATTACGGCGGAAATGTCAATTCTACCGTTGACCAAGGCAAAGTCGATGTCAACAAGGCATTTCGAGGGATGACAACGTTATCCTCGCTAACCTACAACATTTTAGTGGGTCATATGAGTTACAAGGACCTTTTGCTATCTGTTTGTGTTCGTCGTCGTGCGTCATCTTTTACTTTGCTACACAGCTTCAATTCGAGTTGAAAATCATAACAGCCATGTTTGGTTTACAAAACCTTTTGGGTGTTAATTGTGCAGTCCAGTGATGCTAGAAAAATTAATTTGTTGCAGATTAGCTAGGTTATTACGGCGGAAATGTCAGAGAAAACTACCGTTGACCAAGGCAAAGTCGATGTCAACAAGGCATTTCGAGGGATGACATTTTTACGTTATTTTTTAGTCATATGAGTTACAAGTCATCTTTTACTTTGCTACACCTTTTGCTATCTGTTTGTGTGTTTTTCTAGGTTATTACTTTTACTTTTACACAGCTTCAATTCTGCAAGAGTTGAAAATCATTCTTTTAATAATCAGCATCATTTCCCGTTGACCAAGGCAAAGTGATGTCAACAAGGGATGACATTTTTACATTATCCTCGCTAACCTACAACATTTTAGTGGGTCATATGAGTTACAAGGACCTTTTGCTATCTGTTTGTGTTCGTCGTCGTGTGTCATCTTTTACTTTGCTACACAGCTTCAATTCTGCAAAAGTTGAAAATTATCACTGGTACTGAAATATCTGTTATTTATATATGAAGACCGGATAATACCCGATTTCGAGAATTCTTTCTTACTTGTTTTCAACGAGTAGTCTATTAAGTATGTAGATCATTTGCCTTTTATTATTTTTTAGTTATGTCCTATTTTTGCTGTTTTAGGCTTCTTTTAATAAAGCATCATTTCCCTTTGGTGGAGGACCTTAGGAGCACCAACGATGGGACGATTAGACCAATATCGGATTACCGCATCAACGGTAATGTTAAAAAAAAACAAGACATATTCTGTTACAACTGGATGTTTTTATGCGCCCGGATCGATAGATCCGAGAATATATTGTTTTTGTCCTGTCTGTCTGTTTGTTTGTTTGTTTCATTGTCCGCAGACTTTAACATTCGCCAAGAAAGATAAAGACTTCATATCTGAAATCTCTTAGTGGAAGTATGCATAAACACCCTTTTAATTAAAGTATGAAATCAAGATGTGTTTGTGAAACACTGATGCCCCTGTATGGCAACATAGCAAAGATTAAACTTTTCTTAAATGCAACTTTGATTAATTTGTACCAAAAATAGGGTATTCTCACTGGAAAACAAGTGTTTAATTTGAAAGTAAACCAATGATAAAGTTTTTTCAATAAGTATAAAAATCTATAAGGTCAAGGTCACTTTTATCGTTTTCTAACGTTTTAGCTGGTTTAAAATTACTTAAAAATTGGTCAAATTCCCTTCATTATTACAATGAATACCTTAATTAGATTGAAATCGGCATGTTTTGTGCTCTACCCTACGTCCTGTTGTCCCATTCAGACGACTAAACGCGCCTCTATTTTGGAGGGTTCCAGTATTGGAAATAGAACATATTCAGAATTGCTTTACATTATTCACAGCCCACTTTTGATAATCTCCTTGATTTTCTTTTACCATTGGGTTCGATACCATTCTATAACTATGAATTCAATTAAATTGAGATCGGAAATAAACATAAAGGATTTGCACATTTTGTTGCAAGCGCTCTCGACAACGTTAGTCCAAATTCCTTGAATACGCATGCTCTGCTTCACGGTCGTGCATTCTGGGAAACTGTGAAAACTACTATAGATAGACCATACGACAACAATTTCGTTGTATCACGTTGTAGCTCAATTTTTCCGTGTTTTTTTTTTCCTGACGGAAAAGGCTGTCATTATATGATTGTTCTAAACAAAGTCAAGGGAGTTTTTTTTACGTCTTAGCACAACCAATGATAGACTCTAATTTCTGATTGGTCAATTCAGCCAACTTTACAAATTACAGAAAAACGAATTTACACGAAAAAGTAACGAATAAATCCATTATTTACATATACTAAAAAAATCTGATGTGTTTGGCTTTTAACCTAACATTTCTTGGCAAAGATGACCAAAAAGGACCACGCTACTTCACATCTTCACATTCGGAACTCTCTGGATTTCTTTATATAACATACATTTTGAGTTATTTTCTTTATTCCTTTTAACTCCCCTATATTGCAAAGAAATTCTATACTTAAACCAGCTCATACAATGCCTCAATCGGCATCTTCTCAATATTATGTACAGTCTCCTCCTCTCTAGTAAAGGTCATAAATGTTCCGTTGCGCGAAAATTCCAATAGGTCAACACCCCGTATGTGTCCATAAAATACTATTCACAAAACAATTATAACTTTAGTTTATCACTTTCCAGCCTCGATAAAAATTAAAGAATTTAGCAGAATAAATCATTTGATCACGGATCCTTCCTGTGTTTAAAAATTGTTACGGCGCTAGTTCACCTATCTTTTTTAAAAGATAAACTTGTTTTAATGATAATCACAACTTCAATAACGTTTTGTAAAATAAATGCTTGTTTGTTTAATTTATGAAAAATTCCGTTAACTTATACCTGCCAACTGAAACCACCACTGTATTCTCTTTTCTGATATTTAGATGTTGTTTACCGAGATATATTTACATCCACTGAATAATTTCTCCTTTATTTCTTAAGAAAACCCATTGCGTTAATCACTGCATGAACTACAGTAGGCATGTCGCCTGTACAGATTTCTTGAGTAGTGACTGTTCCACCAATGAAATGTATAAAGACGTTCGCATCATTAATACAATAATTAATCTTTTAAATCCTACTTTAAATGATTATTTAAACAGGTATAAATGTAAGCAATAAATTGTCCTTCTTTGTTTGTTATTACTGGAATTAACGGTCGCAGCTATTGCAGAAAAAAAATACATAACCCGCGTAATTATGTATTTTTTCTGCGACAGCTGCTTCCGTTAATTCCAGTAATAACAAACAAAGAAAGCATTTTATTGTTTAAATGAAAATAGTCTAAATAGACTTTGAATTACATCTATAATAACTATTTTTGTTTATAAATACTCTTTAGTTTATCATGTTTAAATAATTCACAAGTGTTCTGATAGCAAGTTGTTTTAAATTAGCCGATTTTTTGATGCTTTATGGAAATTGGTTAAAGAACTGAGATAACTTACGCCTGCGTCATAAAATTTCATATAATAACATTCTATATTACGAGAAAAATACTACTGAAAATATATTTTTACCGCGTGATACTCAATGTATTCATGTCTATGTTTCATATGACCTATAACGACCCAGATTACCAAATTAATGTGACCAAAGTACCAAAATAATTTATAATGTGTGAAGTAATACATGTATGTTATTTTGTTTTTTTTTTCCATGAAAATAGGAGGGTTGTCCAAAAAGTTCGTGGACTATGAGGTTTTTGTGAAAATAAATGGTTTTATATGCATTTATTGTATATTAAAATATTTCTCATGAAAAACCAGGTCAGAATGATTTCATTTTTTCATGAAACTTAATATTTTTGTAAAAATCGGGGTCATTAAAGATCGCAGATTGAGCGCACGGGGTAGTCTGACGTTAAGCTAATTTCTATGTATGGTGGCATATTTCTGCCCCCTACATGCAAAATAAATTATATTGACATGTAAGTTACAAATCTTTTAAGGGAATTTAATTTAAGTATGGGTACAATACCGTGCTGACGCCCGTATCTGACTTCATAGATGCATGGTGCAGCATAATTATGAGCTCGAGAAGACGCGATTTACGTATGTTAACATGCGAGATAACTATGTTGACGTGCGAGTTAATTATGTTCAACTGCAGGGTATATTTATGTCGACATGCGATTTAATTATTTAGACATGCAACTTATTTATGTCAACACGTAACATACTTATGTTAACATGTGAGATACTTATGTTAACATGCCAGATACTTATGTTTACATGCGAGATATTATGTAGACATGCAGGATATTTATGTTCACATGCAACTTAATCTTATGTCAACATGCAAGATAATAACTTGCATATCAACATACATATATATCTTGCATGTCAACATTATTATCTTGCATGTTGACATAAATAAGTTGCATGTTGACATCATTTTCTTGCAAGTTAACATAAATAAGTCGCATGTTGACATAATTATCTTGCATGTTGACATAAAATTAAATAAGTCGCATGTCTACATAATTACATTGCATATTGCATCTAATTGTCAGATACAGGCGTTAGTAAGTAAATTTACCCATATTTTGATCATATTTTTATAAAATTAGTAACTTGCATGTAAACATAATTTAAAACTAACACGTTGACATAAATATGTTGCATGTCTACATAATCATGTTGCATGTTAACATAATTTATCTTGCATGTAGGGGGCAGAAATATGGCACCACATTTCATTATAACGTCAAACATTTAGATTTTGACTTGTTCACGTGTTCTTGGACCCACACTACATTTCTTTTTAAGGCGCAACGCACTTCCAAAAGCTTGCATCAATCTTTAAGTAATTATAATTTATTTTAATTTTAAAAATTCAAAACAATGCACAAAAATTTACGCGCGTCATCTAAATATACATTTTATATACATAAACTACACAGCCCAGTCCGGCGAACTTTTTGGACAACCCTCGTACTAGTAGACTCAGTATCTCCATTTAACCGTTAACATGAAGATTTTATTATTTTTTCAGATATCATCTCAGGAACAAGGACTGTCAACGAAAGAAAGGCAACACTAGAAGAAAAAAATGCGGCAAGGATGATTCGTCGCTGGAGAAAGAATCATCCTTTGTCTGTTGCCAATTGCCTGAACCCATTGACCGGAGCTCAAGAAAAACGTGTTTTGGTTGATGGTAAAATGGTTTTAAGGTTAAGTGAAATAAGTTCCGCGACGAAACAGGCATTCGAGGAAAGTAAGGGCGCTGGTTCACGAAAAATTCGACATCGCTTAAAATCTGTATTCAGCGGCGTAACACATCGGAAGGTTCAAACCTCTCTTAAATCTCTTCCCGAAAAGCAGTCCGTCAATCCAATTTTCGATAACGTTGCTCCTCTTAAACCGATTCGTGCAACTTCGATACAAGAACGCCACCAAATTGACTTAGTTGATATGTCGCGACACACGGAATTTTATAACGGTGTAGAGTACAAGTATATTTTGTCGGTTCTAGACGTTTTCAGTCGTTACGTATGGCTTCGCCCGCTCAACTCGAAAGAAAGCACGGAAATCGCAGACGCGCTGGAGTCCATTTATGAAAGCGAAGGACCGCCGAAAATCATACAATGTGATAATGGTCGCGAATTCCATGGTTCGGTAACCCGGTTGACCGAGGTATTGGGTTGTCAAATTATCAAAAGCCGACCGTATTACCCGCAAAGTCAAGGTAAAATTGAATCGTCTCATAAATCCTGGAAATCAAAGCTTAAGTACGACCTACTTAAAACAAGCGATTCGAACTGGGTTCGAGATTTATCAAAATACGCGATGTTGCGCAATGAGGAGTATCACTCCTCTTTAAAGGCTTCTCCATTTTACGTATATCACGGACGGGAATCTAATCGTGTGCGTAAGTCTACTCGTCTTGGACCAACCGTTTCAAATAATGTTTCGAAAGAGTTGAAAAAGCAGTCCGCCATTCGCAAGGCAGCCCTACTGGCATCGAAAAAACGCGAAAAAACCATGATAAAGCACCATTTCAAAAAACATCAAGTTAGTGTCTATAGTGTGGGCGACGAAGTGTTCGTAAAATCCCAAACTCGGAAAAATTACAATAAAGCTAGGCCGCGATTCGAAAGGGGAAAAATAATCGGCACAAAACACAACGCGTTCTCTTACAAAATCAGGTTTTCCAGTGGGGTGTCGCGTTGGATAAATGTACAAAACATAGCAGCAATTTCACGTTCCGAAGAACTGTTAAAAAGACAAAAACGTCATCGATTAAGGCTTGATCCGTTGTGCGAGTGTAACAATGAGAAATGCTCCCGAAAATCGGATCCAAACTGTGTACACAAATTAAATAAATTTTGTTGCCGCGAAAGCAAAGTTCCCTGTTCACTGCCTTCCCATAATTTCCCGCATATATCGGATTTCTATCTTTCTGATAATTTAGTAAACCAACTTAAAGGACCGAGCCTCTCGAGAACCGATACAGCCCATGACGATTTGGTTCGAAATGCGCTTGAACGAAATTTAATTCCCGTTGGGGATATTCCTAAAGACGGTAGCTGTCTCTTTCATTCAGTTGCACAATCGCTCTCTAATTATTTACAAATCGACCTTAATCAGCAAGATATTAGAGATATCGTGGTAAACTGGCTCTCCGAGAACCCTGAAACACCGGCAGGCGACCGCTTTTCACACTTTGTACCTAATTTAGACTGGGATACCTATTTAGAGGGCATACTGGGTACCGAATGGGGCGACCACATCTGCATCACGGCCATCGCGAACGCATTTAATATCGCAGTAGGTATTGTGTCGAGCTCCCAGTCAGACTTAAGATACATTTTGCCTTTTGATCGTCAAAATAGGGAAAATCTTTTACATATTTATTTAGGCCATGAGTTCGAGTTTCATTTTATAAGGTTAGAACCGATACCGGGCACGCAGGCGGATATTTGTATTAATGAAGTTAATTTTCATAATGTTAATACAGTGTGTATTCCAAACAGGGATCTCAACTCAAACCAAAACAACACAGATAATAACAATGTTCACAGTAATGATTTTTCTCACTATTCGTTACAGGAAGTTCAACTTGAACCTCAACTAACAGATTATTCTAGTGATTCGATTCTCCACCTACACCTATCCACCAACGACAGTTCGTTATCTCCTCCGGTCAGCCATGTAAACATAGGGCCTTCGGCTTCGTTTCCTGACAACGAATTATTTCAGACTGCAAATGACCACATCGATTCTCCTGTTCCGCCAACATTGGAAACGCCGACTTTGCAACGCTTTTCCCCAACAGCAATCTCCGACACAAACAATCTGAGCTCCACAGAGAAAGACAGGTTATTTCCCCCAAGTCTTAACTCATCATTTTATTTATCTCCACCTTCTTTATCTCCAATTACAGATAGGATAAACGATTCAAATTTAGACAAACAGCCACCAGTATTATCACCTGTCCGATTAAGGTCTAACGTGCGACCCCCTAAAAAGTTTACACCAAGTGATTATGTCAGGGCTCGTAAGCAAATTTTTCCGGAAACAGAAAATGTAAACCAAAAGCAATTCACTGATTTACCTTACTTCATTCAGCGTCATATTTTATCCTTTGTAATATACAAAAATTTTAACATGTTTTTGACTTTAATAAGGGTTTCAACACACTTCAAGCATTTGCTAGGCACCCTTCATAAATTGTGTCCTAAAGTATACTTAAATGAAAATGTCATGTTTTTATTGGAAGGTAGGTCAGTATTCGCAGAGGGCGTAAGGCACAACTGGTCTGTTCGTCAGTTGGGCCGTGTGTCGGGTTCGGGTAGTGGAGTAATGATGGAATTACGGAATATATTGCGACCGATTTCTTCCCGGTGGATTAATGGTTACATCGAGATACTGGCAACAGCAATCGCCGGATGGTATTATATTGTCGATTTTAAATTTAAAAAGTAACGGATAAAACGTGAAAAATATCCTTGTATATACGCGTTCAATATCGTGCTTATTAATTTATTAATTTTCAAACACTGTCAGTATATGGTGGTATGGCCTTTTTTCTCTGATCAGGCTTCCAGTTGGAGCCACCATTCGCGCCAAACACATCATTAGGGAAAATGTGGTACGACCTGTCTCCTTATGAGCTGGTTTCCAGTTGGAGCCACATTCGCGCAAATCTAGGTTAACATGTTACAGAAAAAAATATCTATTTATTTATTTATTTAAATAGAGTATAATATATTTATTTATTAAAAAAAAAAAAAAAAAAAAAGACTCTTAACAGGAGATGCCTCCACGTGGCAAGAGTTGGGCAACAGTTTTACTGGCAGAACTCTCCTAGAATATACTATAAGTCTGCCGACAACCCTTATTTCAATATTTCTCTACTAACAATAGTCACGTGATTTTTATTCAATATTAACTGGTATTAACTTTTAAAAACTTGGTACAGGTGTATATGATCGATGCACAACAATTTTAAAAAATCTAGATTAAAAACAGGGCAGGACACTTTGAAAGCCTCCACAAAATTAAATTGTCAGAAATATTCTAGAAATGTGCGTGTAATATTATTATTTTTTATTCATTCGTTTTGATCTCGGGATCAAACACGGATAAGCAGTGCTGTTTTTGGTCTTGCATAACGAAGTAAAAATTTACATTTGTTTTCAGCGAGACACTTCTCCCCTTTCCAAACAAAATGCTATGAACATTAATTTAAAGTTGTTTAATATTGAAGCTCGTATTATTTTTAGGTACACTGAATGCTTTTAATATGTTTAAATCATGAAAAAAAAAAAAATCCAGTTTCATTTCAAACTATGGACGTTTTGCAAGTACTGTAATTACTGATAATTATTGATATTGGGACAAGCTATTTATCAAGACAGCGAACTATTTGTCTCTCTGAATTCCCTACAATCAAGACATTGATAACTTTGTTTGAAACCATTTATTAAATCCAATCTATTATGTATTGTTTGAAACTCAACGTGATGATAATTCGTCGTGTTTCATCAGACGATATACATTTGTAGTGGCTGTCGTTACGGTTTTTTAAAACATTTTTATTGGGCTGGGGGGGGGGGTTAAATTATTATTCCTATTCGTATCCTCTTCGTAGAATACATATATCGCTACAATGACCTTATACATGGACATGCATGTGAGATGTATTCCCTGATCACTTAAAACAGGTTTATTGTTATTTGGGTAGGTTTTCTACACACTTTATTATCTTAAAGACACATTACTGAGGGCTGTGTCTTTCAAATCTACACGCACGGGAATTTTTGAAAGTCCTATTGTATTTACTTTCGATAACAAACTGAATTAAATAGATTTCCAACTTTCTTTGACAACATTGTGATTAATCTATATATATAAATATAGGACTCAGTTTCTGCGTCATCGATTACGAATTCGTGTATGAAGCGGTAATGAGAGTTAATCGTCTTATTGATGTACGAACAAAATTTAAATTAGGAGTAGCAGTAATGATGATATAGTTTAACAGTTATTTAGAACTCCCAGCGTACTTCAAGTTTGAGGTTGTTTAAGGCATAATTAATAACCAATTAGCCGTTTATGATCGACACGGTAATTGATTTCAAAGCAAAATTAGTATAACTTCAAAAAGTTCATTTTTTAAGATCATATATAATAGCAATTTTTTAAATTTGATAACTGCTTTTTAATCATAGATGACAAAAAAGGTAATCATTATTTAATTACATAATTTGCCTCGAGTTTGTTATAACTGTGAAATTTGTGATTTTATTTTATAGCCACCATGAGAGTCGCCGTATTCGGTTCCTCCTACGTGAAGCGAGCTTCAAGCTTTACAGACTTTGTCATGCCATTTGAAGTCGGGTGGTTTGGAGTTGGTGGGATGACAGCTTCTCAACCTTGTCCAAATATCATCTCCAAGATGTTGAGGTACAACCCGGACATCGTTGTAGTGTGCTTAGGGGGAAACGACATTTCCAGTGGAGCCGAGGCGTCAACAGTCATTGACTGTCTGACGAGCCTTTTCGACCAAATTAAAGTCTTGAGTCCCAGCTGCAGACAACCCGAGATTTTCTTCTCAGAGATTGTTTCTAGAGGAAAATTTCGATTTCCTTTGCAGCGTGAGGAGTTTGATGCAAGGCGCAGAACTGTTAACAATAAGATGAAGAAAATCCTTGGCCGAACCTACATCAGAATAGATGTCAAATTTCCCAGACATTACCTTCCCGATGAGATCCACTTCAACGAGGCGGGAACAGTCCTCTTCTTGCTTTCAATAAGCAAGACCATCAAGAGTCGCTCCTAGGAGTTGACAATAAACGGCCCTTTTAAGGGCCATTAAATTATTCGAAAAGATACCAATGAATACAGACGTAGAAACGTCGCACTTAACGTATTTACCCTTTTATTTTACCGAACTTCTCGGTAAATGAAAAGGAAATACGTAAACTTATATAAAAATACACATAAAGTATATAATACACAAGCATAACTTATTTTTTCATAATTCCCGGACATTTCGGCACAAGTGTTAGGTGCTCGAACTTCTGTTTAAACTCGTCATATTTCGTTATATCTACACAAAACCCTTTAGTTAGACTCAAGCGGCAAACCACAATGTTCATGTTATGAGGCAACAAACTGACATTACTTGATCTGTTATTAATAAAATATATATCATAAAAATCTACACATTAAAACAGTGCACGCAATATTGCAGGCGCGTATTTTATTTGAACAACCGATTTTTTCATACATAAATTTAATAAGTAGCCTTTACGAGACAATTACCGGTACTTAGGTTAAAGCACAACAAATATTTTGAATCTCTTTCTCTCTCTCAGACATATCTCAAGGGGGGTTTTGACCCCCCCCCCCCAATTCCATCCAGATCCGCAAAGTTGCATTTCTCTTTATTTTGGCACACTATAAAAAAAATGCTTTATCCTTGTCTGCTGCAGCATAAATTTCGTATTTGTGAGAAATTAAAATTTTACATATAACGAAAATCCTTATATTCTCTGCGCTTCAAAATTCGTCAATCAGGATTCGGTCAGATACAACATTGACACGATTATTTATTCAATTTCAATTTTTATCATACTCCCGCTTGAAAAGTGGGAGGGTATATAGAAATCGGTATTTCCGTCCGTCTGTCCGTGTGTTACGCTTTGGGGTACCCATCTCTTATCCGCAACTCCTCTCATACCACTGAAGGAAATTTAATGAAACTTTAACAGATTTTAATTACATATTGCCATTGTGTACTTCCTATTTTACTTTTTGATCTGATGTTTATTTTTGATTTTCCAGAGCAAAACATGGACACTGCCATTATATTCATATGGGAGGCGGGGGGTATCATTTAGTGAGCTCATTGCTCACAGTACCTCTAGTCTATATTGCAATTTTGCTAAGCTTTTGAACACTAAATATATAAATATTCCCTGCCAATGTAAAATACTTTAAATTTATTTTTTAAACTCCGCAGAGCACCAAGGCTACTTTAAACTTTAATATCAAATAACCCACCGCCTCCTGCCGTTCACAATGTTTTCTTTGTTATTACAATTAAAAACTGGCATCAAAACAAAGGGTAAGGCTTAAATTTTTCTGACACCATGCCATTAAATTCTCAAAACCGTAAACAATCAAGAGAAATGAAACATATCTCCATTAATTGACCGAAACAATGTAGTTCAATGAAATCATTTGTAGCAAAGAACAGACCATTGTTATTAATTTTTCTTGGTGGATATTTCTGATGGCATACATTATTAGACGTTTGGTTAAAGATACATATATTAAACACCGAAAAGAAAAAATAAAACACTATTTTCAATCTTGGACGGACATTTTGTAGGGGCGGACATAACGTTACAATTTTGGATGATCGGCGGACACTTCGTTGCGGCGGAAATAGTATGACGATTTTTTAGGGAGAAAAGGCGGACATTTCTTGGCGGCGGACCTAGTATTTCTATTTTTTTGGGGAGAAAGGCGGACATTTCGTGGCGGCGGACATAGTGTGACGATTTTTCCGAAAAAGAGGCGGACATTTCGTGACGGCGGACATAGTGTGACAATTTTTCCGAAAAAGAGGCGGACATTTCGTGACGGCGGACATAACGTGACGATTTTTCTGAAAAAGAGGCGGACATTTCGTGACGGCGGACATAATGTGACGGCGGACAAAACGTGACTCAACAATAACTAAATGTTTTCAAATTCATTGACGTACCTAAAGCGGTTTTAATTTTATGGCGCTAGTCCGCGAACTTTTTGATAGCCCCTCGTACATGTTATTTTAAAATTAGATAAATTGATTTCTATGAAATCGAATGAAGTGAAACTTCACACACCAATAGAAAATATACAAATGTAATTGTTTTGGAAAACACATTTTGATTGGCCAATGTAATGGTGTTTGAGGCAGTTAAACGACTATTAACGAGCGTGAAATCTTCTAATTGTGACGTCACAATAGAGCGTCGTATAACACTACTCTCGGTGACGTATTTTGTGCAACAAAACTCATGAAAATAAAACGGAACCTCAAATAAAATATATAAATTGCAAAGGAAAGGAAATTATTATCTTCTAATTTGGTGTTTGCGATGAATATTGCTAATTGAATAGTCACAAACATTCTTTTAACTGGCTCCGCTTACGTTTCTGCATCAAAAAGATATTATCAGATTTGGAGACGGGGTCGATTTTAATACATATCATACTTTCTTCTTTGTTGCCCTGTTCGAGCAAGTAGTAGCTAACAATTATGAGTTTAAAAACCTCGTGGGGACGTTAAACCTTTAATAAAAAGCTTAAGTGATACAACTCTTGCCTGTGAAGAAGAATTAAAAATAATTGGTGCTACTTTTAATTTTAACGTAAATTTACTTCAATTTTCATTTTTCAAATATTTGTAAGAAAGCATTTGACATTTATAGTTGTTAAAACGTGTCGGGAAACATCTATGTAAACTGGCTAAACGTACCATTCATCATTCTTTTAAGATGTCCGATTTAGTTTTTTCTCACTGTTGTGGCATTTCAGTGCTGAATATAAATGTAAAACAAAAACAGAAAAATTTCAAGAGCGGGCACTGTGATTTATGTATAATGACTATACTTGCGGTAATGACCAGCTACTAGAACTCCATCACTGAACATTAGGCGTATGAGAGACGTGTCCTTGAAGTTTGTAAATACGCAAAACCTTTGTTCCTGCAAGATTTAGTTCAACAGAGAAATTTTAAGTACAATAGAATCTGGAATTTTTAAAGTCCAAGAACCACTAGGTATGGTATTCAGTCTTTTAGCGATGTTCATGGTTGCTGCGTTTTGATACTCTTTACCAAATCATGTTAGGGAACTTTCCGTTCATTGACACATGAAGGGGAAAATGCAAATGCAGTTCCTGCAGAAACGACAGCGTGTGGGCAGCATAGCTGATGAGATGATATTTTTTTAGAGTCATTGTCTTTTATTTTTGCAGTTTTTTAAATTTATTTTTAAAGTCTTTTATTCGCCTTATTTATACCACCTCATTTTGTTTTACTTTTCTATCTTTACATTTATATTTGTTATTTATTTACAATATCCAATAATGGACTTTTACGAGTAGTGCTGATTTTTACAGTTTACAGCTTACTTTTATACTAGAACAATGTACGGAAGCTCTTTTTCGATATGAATATTTAGCTTAAAATTTTATTTAACCAAATAATGAGTTATTTCAAAGCGTAAATCGATTGTCCTTGAAGAACACGATAACCACCCAACCCTCAATTCCCGGTCTTTACATGTCAGTGCACCTAACACCATTAGAGGCACTACCTTTGACCACTAGAAATGTGTTCTTATCTATTAGAAATTCTGTACCTTTATACATGATGCAGGTTTAAATGTCAAGTAAACTGTCAACTGTGAAAGTCAGTGTTTCTCGTAAAAGTCCAATAAGGACCCTGATGACTGAAACTAATTGAAACACATAGAGATAACGAACAGTATTCAATTTCAATGTCCATAAAACAATACAAAATAAGAGCAGAGCAAACACGGTCCCCCGAAACATCAGAGGTGGGATCAGGTGCCATGGAGGAATGAGCATCTCCTGCTGACCGGTCACTTCCGCAGTGTGCTCCTTGTCATGATCAGGAAATAACGGAAAAATACGTCGTCAATTCAGTGTATGAATAATAGACTAACACTTGTCATGAAATTGTATTTGCTGACAATGTCATTGTATCGACCATAGAACTTACGAAATGATGCTTTTTAACAAGACGGCTGATATTTTTGTTTCATCAATTTGCTTGTCAATAATTTATCTTGTTTTAGAAATTGTTTATACGTAGAACAAGCTCTTGCGTATCGAATCAACTGAGATATATTTACTTCGTATGCAGGTGATGAAGTGCTGAAGTAACATCCTTTGCTAGTTAAATTGTAGCCTCAAAATACACAGGTACGATAAGGCATCCTGGAGAATATTGTAGTGTACTCTTTGCATGCACTTCATCCAACTACAAATGTATGACGTCATAACTGAAAATGACGTCAAGTCAATGCAAACTTGAGCTGTAAAGATGGGGAGAGTGTCAAAAACTTTACACCTTATTTCAATTTGCATTGAATGTAGAATTTTAGTTTATGATAAGCATGTTTTTATCATTTTTTTAAATTCTAAATTCTAATATAATCGAATAATTCAGATAACTTTGCTTTATTAGTCTTGATTAAGAGTCAGCGTGTCCAGACTACGTACGAAAATATACGTTTGACATTTACCCTTTTTTAAACCCGTGGACAGAGACAGAATTCATAACATGTGTATTAAAGAGCCTGGCCCAGGTGATTAATGAGGATTTATTTAATATCTTTTGTGGAAGTATGAAAGAGG